ATCGTTGCAGAGCAGCTAAACGGAAGCCCTTATTAAGACCTGCCAACAAAGTCAGACGAAAGAAGTGGACGAGTGATATGATGACTAAGCCTCTGGACTTTTGAAAGACCGTACTGTTCTCAGACGAATCAAGATTCGCTCAATTTTCGGACAGTGGAAGGATATGGGTCTGGAGAATGCCTCATTAAGAGTTTTGGCTCAACAGATTGCAGCCAACTGTGAAGCATGGGGGTTTCAGCGTGATGGTTTGGGGAGCTGTTTGGGTTGGTGGGAGATCGAGCTTAGTGAAGTGCGTTGGCAACATAAATTTTGCGAAATACGTCGAAATATTGGAGGAAGGACTCTTGCCAACACACATCTTGCCTCATACCTATCCAGTAAAATCTCTGTCCTAGGTGACTCAATGTCTTCTTAACTCCGAGATGTCCTCCTGTTAAACTATCATGGGATTGACGCCGCACAACTTCCCGTAACTTTCTCGGTATAACTGTTTACCAGGTCGTCACTTTCCTATCTGCAGTTTCCCATCTCCGGACAAGAATACCATCTTCAAGCTTCAACTGGTCCCATTGTGCCCAATAGTTATTTGTCACGGGGCTTAAGCTAGACACCATCTCCCAAGCAGGGCACAAACACTTGCTTGTAGAAAATCAATTATTGGCTCCAAATCTTGGTCTTTCTCCTGTTCCGCTTTGATATTCATACCTGGTTTCACTTCACCATCATCAACTCCTTCAGTCACTTTGACTTCAGCTTGATGGTACCTGGTTAGTTCAACCTCTCTTTTAACACTTACCGGAATTCGGCCTTTGTTGTTCTCAAACGTCATTTTATCAAAATTAACTACACACTTCCTCGGTAGTAAGTAATACAACCCTAATATGCATTGGTCTTCAATGTCAGCCAAGTATACTTTGTGTCTGTCCTTCATGCCTATGAGCTCAATAGTTACCAACACTGGTCCCCACAACCTTGCATAATGTCCTGTCACACCACAGACCTTGTGTATGGCTTCTGGTACTCCTTTGTGATCTAGCATTCTGATTCTCACAAGAATTTGCTGAGATGAAGAATCTATGACAAAGCTGCACTTTTGTCCCTCCAGCTTTCCTGTCACGTAGACACTATGTGTGCTTGGCATTTTACACTTGGCTGTTGGGACTTTCAAGATGGGGGTTAATCCCTCAACACCAACAACTACTGGTTCCCAAAGGCTGACATATTGGTAGTATTCTTCTTACATTGGCTTCTCGTATGTCCTTGCTCTCCACAGTTCCAACAACTTTTCTGGGTAGCAGCATTTCCTGCTGTGGCATCTTCC